TCACTCACACTAAATGAAAAACAAATTTATTTGTTTTACACAATTCTTTAATAAATGAGTCAGCCATGCTTCCCATTCATTCAGTTACCACCACTCCACTTTCTGATACAAAAATCTGAGTATTTTTAAATTGTGTGTGCAGTGGTCAGTGACTCACTGGTGACTTGAGGAGCCAACGCTGAGGCCCCTCTCAGCTTATTAGCCCATTAAAAGTGATACAGAATACCAATGAAGTCCAGGTTCTCCCATTTAAGCAGTATAGGAAAGTTTGTAGCTTGTTGATTTTACAGTAATCCATTTTGCACTCCTACTAAACTGTCTGTTTGATAAGCAAGACTGGTGCTTTCCTCAACTTTTTGAAAAGCCCTTTGGATTGTGTCTACAGAATAAAGGTTAAAAACTAAGAAAAAGGAAGTGGTATACATTTCCTCAAGCAGTTTTTAATGAAAAGAAAATGATTAGTAATGAATAGATGGGACTTGTGGAAAGAAGGATTATGATTTTTAGAAATATGACTTAAAGGTGCTGAGAAAAACCTGTCATCTTTTGTTAACAAAAAAGCAAAAAGCTATTAACTTTGGTCATTTGGAACATTTAGTTTTGGATCCAAAATTTTATGAAAAACAGTTACTTTAAAACTGTAGTTTGTTCTAAAGCTGTCTTATGTCAGGTCTAGAAATAGCAATACTGACCATTAGGCCATGAGATGGGGTGGGTTTTTTTCCTCTTTTAGGTGGGAATAGCTGAAGAACAGGGTGCCTCCCTTTTCTAACTTAATCTGAACTCAAAATAACTTTTGTCTTGTTATAACAGCTCTTTTCTGAGTCACTGTATGAAAAAGAGACTGGAAGTATTGGATATTGTAGATCAAACACTTCAAAGCCAACTTTGACTTAGTTTTATGCATGCTTTAGAGTAGACTAATGTACAATAGTATCCAGGAAACTCGGCCAGTAATTCATAAGGGTCCAAAATGTTCTCCTCAGGATGAATCATAGCAGCATAAATGATAGGATTGGAGAAGATCCTTTAGGTCATCCACTTCGAAACCTCTGTATCTTCCTTTTCACTATCCCCACTAGGATTTCATCTGCCCTATCTCTGAAAACTTCCCATATCCCTGACTCAGCCTCCTCCCTGGGTCGTTTCTTCCATTGCCTAATTATTTAACCTGAACATCTTTAAACCTTACACCATCATGCTTAGTGTGAACAATTTATGACTACAGGAAATTATTCTTTCTCCTCCCTTCTGCCATCATGCTCAAATATCATCTCTCCCTTTAAATGTGTCATTGGGTTTTTTTTCCTTCTAACTGTATGAATAATACAGGAAAGTTGGGGTTTTTCTGCTGTCTTTGGTGCTTCTGTCACTGTAACTGATTTTCTTTGAACTTTTAGTTTTCAAGCCTCAAAAGTACATTTTGATCTAGAAATGAACTTTCTGTGACTCGGTGATATGTGTGTATTAAGTCATGCTTTTGAAGATGTAAATAAAATGACTAAAGTATTCTGTGTCTTTGTTTATAGAAGCTGCTTTCTTGAGGGTGCTAATTGACAAATACATGACATTTGAGAGATTTAAGTGACTTTTTTTGGTGTCAGATATCCTCAATCTCATGTTACTAATCAGGATATTAATATAATCACGTATTCTGGCTCTGATTTGAAAAATGAACTCCGAAAGCTCTTGGAGTTGCTTGGGGTTGTCTACTGCTGAGTTAGAATTTATCATGATCATTTCCAAAATCAGCTTCCCAGTTTGTAGCCATGTTAATAAACAGAGACATAAACCTTTCAATACACATTTATCTAAGTGTATGTGCTCCGTCCAGTGTTATTATGATAGGATTTTTGGATGCCCTATAAAACTAAACATTGAGAACTTCATAATGGAGGATATGAAGATGAAAGGAAGCTTTTTATTCCTGATGAAATGTGGTAAAGAAGCCTTAATCTTCAGAATTTATATTTATACCCTGTATTTTTTAGGATCTGCCTAAGCTTGTTGGAATATGCTAATGAGAAACCTCTGATGTTAATTATCTCATCTGCTATAATGTAGAATCTGCCAGTTAGATCAATGTGACATTTACATTGTTCTCCTAGATGACTAATAAAAGTTGCATGTTGGAAAAAATACAGGGTAGAGGTGAGAGGGATGATTATTGCAAGCTGTATTTTCCTGATTCTGTATTGCCTTCCATTTTGGAGTTGCACAATAAAAATAGCTGCAGTCTGTGCCTCACCTGTCAGCTCACCTCTCCCAGTTTACTCATGTAGTAGTACTTTGATCCATGCAGAAGTATTCCAGGTTCCCTATAGCTGGAACCTACAGAGCTGTTGTGCAAACTGGTGTGAAACCATGGTAAATTCTGCTCTGTGACTTCAGTTCTCCCAGCCAGTAATTACAGTAAATGTGTAGATTTAGTGGATCCACAGCTTTTCGTGAAAGTAACCATTCATGGTTCACTTTGGCATGGCAATTTGTAGAAATAGACACAAGTGTTATTTGTGAGAAGTTAATGTCAGGGAAGTAACAGATTTTGAAGGCAGTGTCTTGGGCACTATTTTTTGGCTCAAAGAATTTTTTTTATAAGTTTATAATTGCACTTTAATTTTTAACAGCCATGTTTTCAGCTTAACAAAGGAAAAAATGCATTAGGATATTATTGACCTCTTATTGAGAGGTTTTCTTCCCTGCAGATTTTTTTGTAAACCTCCTTTCTTTAGTTTCTGGTTTTTTTTGCTTCTTAGGGGTGCTGTAGCCAGACAGTCCTCAAATGTCAAGAGGCTGAGGACACTGTGCAGTGGCAGTGTCATGGCTTAAATGTGCAACACCAGTGCACAGTTGGTAAACTCTTGGTCTCTGGTAAATCTGCAGCCATTCTGTTTGGGTACAAAGAGCTGACCATAGTCATAACTCTTTTTTTTCTCTTTCTCATTCAGATTATATGTGTGTCCAGCTTTTATAGGAGTGTGCAGCAGCCAGTTTCATAATTCTGGCACCATTTTCCTTGACTATGGGGAGAAAACAAGATATTCTCTGGTATTTTTTTTTTTTATGCAGACCTCTAAAGAGTTCAGCAAAGCTGTGTAGTCAGGAACAGTGTTAACTGCAGCTTTGCAGTGGTTTCTACACTGTGTTGAGCTATGGTGCTTTGCTGCCAGTGTATAACTTATACATAGATACTTACTGAGGAAAGCCCTGCAGAAGTAGCACAGTGGAAAAAGTGAAAGATTGTTATTTCCATGTTGAACTTCAAGCAATATTTCCTATCTTCTCTCATATTTGTTAATTTCTTAGTCCTAGAACAACATTTCTTTCTCCTCCCCAGCATTTGTAGCTCATCTTGGTTTCCTAAAATCCACAAGTTTCATTATCATGCTACCTACCTCCTTTCCCATGATCATTACTGAAACAAGATGGGACCTGCTGCTGGTCCCTTTGCATCCCAGCTGTGTGATGAGAGCTCTGAACAAAAGAATGGCCATTCGAGGGCTGACCTTTGGAAAACCAAGTCAGTTCTTAACATGGTGCTTTTAATTGTCCTTTAAAAAAATAGCAACTTCAGTAAGGGGAATTTCTTAGGCCCTTGGGGCTTTGGGCTTCCAGCTGCTGCTGAAATTTTACTGCTTTAGTGTTTTGTATCTCAAGGCTTGAGATAACATTTGTTCAGTTTAGTACCATCACCCATGAAAACCACTGTAAATACTAAAATATCTGAGCAACAAAAACATTAGAAGTGGAAAATAAAAGCTGGGAAGTAAATGTAGTTGGTTTTGATCATGTGAAATTTCACAGATCTAAATGAAAGTCTATTGATTTAAGTTTATGTAGGTTGTTGGGACTAAATTCTTTGTGGACATGATTGTGAAGGTAGTTAGGCTGACAGGACACTGGTGGCTTTGGTTTAGAACATTGGATGGTCAAATTTTTTTCTGCTGACCTGCTGGATCATTTCATTGTGTGTTGGGGGATTTCAGCCATCTTTAGAGAAGAAGGGGAAAAAACATATCAAAACAAATCTCAGTCAATCTCTGTATTATTTTCTTATTACTCATATATAATTTGGAGATGGTGCCAGTTTATTTTGGATTGCTTAAATTAATTAGAAAAGGATTTAAGTTAAATAATTTTCAATCTAAACAAAGGGCGCATATGTAGGAAACTGCTGGGTGAAACAGCCACTTTTAATTTTAGTCATTCAAGTATGTGTGTACAAATTTGTGTGGTTATCCACTGTTTTCCTTCTCCATAGATATCTGAAGCAACTTTTTATGAGTCTCTACACCCTTTGCAAATTCCATCAGGTTCATTATTGCAAAGATTATTATCCTATCCAAGACTGATTAATCTCCTGAACTAATATTTGAAAATGGGAAACTCATTCCCTTGGCTTAAGTCAGAAGTTATCATCAGTACAAGAGTTTGGCTATTTTCCTCTTGCCCAGACTGATAAGTCATATATATATATATATATGTGTGTGTGTGTATAGATATATGTGTGTGTGTGTATATATATATACACATATACATATACATATATATGTATATAAAAGTATATCCTTGTTAATGAGTGTGTGCACTCAAATTTCTATTGTTTTGCAACTTGTATTGTCCTTTTTTTCCCACAAAAAGGGACAGAATAAATGCAGGTAGATTGGAGTAACTGTGTCTCAGATCATACATATAGTTGTTCTCTGTCATTTTTTTCTGATGAAAAAGTAGTCCATGGTTTTGTAGTTTGAACTGTCATCGTCCATGATATGTATAGAAAAGCTGATGTGAAATTGCCTTTATTGCATTTTTTTTTAATTTTCTGAACTTGTGAGTGCTTGCATTTGCAAGTTAAGCATTTTTATCCTAAGTGTTTTGCATGTAATAAATTGTTTCCTCCAGCTACAACCAAGGCTTTGACAAACTGATAAAATCAACAATATAGTGCATGTAGTTGCCAACTGCACTAAATTTTTAAGCATCTCCTTTTTGCTTTACAGGTCTGTCTGAGGATGCAGCAGAGGAAACAAAAAGCCACGAACTCTGACGACAACTCTCAGGAGAAATTTCTTTCTGATGCCAGATGCATTTATAACGCAGCAGTACCAATCCATTTCACTCTGTAGTGATTGCAGCTTCCAGAAGGAGAGGACTGTGCTAATTTATATTAAAACAAAATCAGTTCCACTCTAATAATTTGCTTGGTTCTCCTTGCCAACTGCTATCATCCCTCCTGTGAGCGAAGTTTAAGCACTTACCCAACTGTGGTAGCGGTGTTGTGTTGTGTTTTACGATATATCATCCCTTTCTAAGGATTCAGTTGATTGATCAAAGACTGTTTATACACAGTTAAAAGCAACCTTTGTTTCAGGATATATTTTGTCCTTTTAAAAAAGATATTCTGAACTGCACCTCCCTTTGAGATTATATTAACATTTGTTATATCACAGTTCTGACAAAAGATAACTATCTCGTTTCCTCCTGTACTAACATTCATGATTCCAGACAGCTGAATTCACCACCAGGAGAAAAACTGGTAATCCATCAACTCTTTCTCCCCCCCTCTCATTGCTTATACAGACTCCTGCTCTCTAGAGATATAGAGTAAAATATGGTTACTGGACATAAAAGGCAAACCTTTTTGCCGTTAACTATGCCACTATGAATGGGAGTAAAGTTTACACTGTGAGTACCTTGAGCACAGCAACACATGGATCTTTTTATGGTTACCTGTGATTTCTGCTTTTCTTGTCAAGCAGTCTGCTCTAGTTATGGGTAAGATTTTACAAAAGTAACTACCAATTTTTGAGTGCCTTAACTTTTATTAATCCAGTTGGAGGGTGTTTTGAGTGTTGTGTATTTAGAAACAGTATTTTCTGAGTATTGCCATCTAAACGCTTTTGTATTTTGTCTAAATGCTGAGTATTGCCTTCTGAAAGTCGGGCCCCTGCAATGTAGCTGAAATACAACACCCAATAAGTGAGGCAAACTTTGAGAGGACCTTGGCCTAGAGTTTGGAGGAGTCAGGCTCATGTCTGGATTTCTGTGAGCGAGTTGAGATATTACTAAAATACACTTGGAAGTGAAAATAACTGAGAACTAGATCAAGTGTATAAATGGGCATTTGAACAAGGCCTCTCCTGACTGTTGCTACTTCATACCAAAATATAAGTTGCAGTCTCTTGGAAGGCAGATACAAAATGCACTGATAGCCCCAGTTTAGTTTGTGGTAGATGCAATTGCATGAGCCATCTCCACATCCCACATTGCTATTGGTTTCTTCAACAGGGGTCTGCCAGCTCCTGTTCTAGCTGTAGTAAAGGCCCCTCCAACTCACTTTTGTGCTGTTTCAAAAGAGGTTGTAACAGTTGCTGTGGTCAATGCTAGCTTGATCTATGGATAATAAGGAAACATTATTTTTCAGAATTTCTTAAGCCATCAACCTTCATCATCTCTGTGTCTACTTTCAACTTCTTTGCATCCACCCCTAAAACAAAAGCAGCTTTGCAGCACTTGTGCATCTGCTGCTTAACCCTCTGGCCCTACTCTGGCTCAGTACACGCTATAACTGTTTCAAGAAGCCTTTTTCAACATGTTAGCTATTAAATAGCTCAGTAGCCAAGGAACTGGGTAAGGCCTCTGATACCTCTAGGGCTGAAGTGGGCTGTAACTCCCAACAAAAATCACTCTGTTCCCCAGGAGACCTCAGATTTATCTACAAGCTGTGGGGGCAGAAATCTTGTTTCTTTCCCAGAAAGGAAAAATCCTACCCCCTTCTTGTTATGGAGTGATTCTGCTCTCTGAGTTTTCTTCACTCTAATCCCTTCCCTGTGGTTTTTTGTCAGGAGAGTGGTATCCTACCCATTGTCAAGGTACCCTGCTGCGCTGTGAAAATTACACAATAAAATAATCTCCTGTAGTCTCTATACACACCTCAGTGACCAAAGAAAGTCCATGGAGAACTAATCAATTACTGTAGCTATTAGGCTTAAACGTTAACTATAGATCTCAAATCTTCTTTTGTCGTCTTGTCAGTGGCTACTAGGGAATCTAGAAAAATCAAGCACAGTTACCACAGAAAGCCCATACCATAATGGTGTAGAGTCCTGGACCAAAGAATCCTAAATTATAGGCATATAATATAGCTGGAAAGTACACTGCTATGAGACTTCTGTGAAATATATTACTCTGTCATGATTCCCATTATTGAATGTGATCCCAGTGCTCAGAGCTGCCTGGTTTCATTGGGACTTCAGGGTAAATGACAAGTAGGCACTCAGGTCAATTATATCATCCACTCTTATTTAAGTTATTTTCTGTCATTTTAAGATGTAATGCTCCGAAGCACTCTTATTTGCCTTTTCTGCTCCATGCTTTGCAAAATAAGGTCTCATGAGAATATTTTTACAAAAAGGAGAAAATATGCTGGCAATAAAGAGGAGGGGGGAAAGGAAGAAAAAGCTAGAAGTATCTATAGTAGTAAAATATGACCTCTTTGTATATTGTGCTAAATTGCAGTATTTGATAGTATCATCAAGATTTAAAAGTTGCATTGAATAAAAATTACTTACTTTCCCCCAATGCCAAATAGTCCATCTAATTCAGAGGAAGGAAGTAATTGAAATGTAGTCATTTATGCAGCAGCCTAAGAGGAAATATTGTAAAGTAATTCTTAGCAGTTCTCAAATGTAGTTTGAATTTTTAAGAAAGTTCTTTTTTGGCTGGAAAAAGATCAGGCCAATTACAGGAAGTTTGGAAGCTAGAGAAGTGAAAGGAAACCTTACTAGTTTGGGGGAGCCATATGTTTGGTTCTCATCAGTAACGTTTCTGAGACTGAAAGAGGCACTGGTGGCCAGTCAAACTGTTCTGAATGGGATTTTAGAGTAATTCCTGCTCTTCTGGTCAGCTGAAATAGGCAGCCTATCTGCACATTTAGCTATTTGAATAGGATTTTATATGGTTAAGCCGCTCAAAGATTAAAATTAATTTTAAATGGCAATTTTATTGAAAATAAATCTAAAAGGAATTTTGTGATATTTTGAAAATAATGCTGTGAGTCATGGCATCCTTATTATCTAGAACTTTGAAATACATTTTCTAAAATAAATCCTAACATAAAGCATATATTTTTCTTTTAAGCAGTTAAAACTTCTAAAGTTTTGAAGTTTATTTTCAGAAGGTTCTTGTCCAATGACTTTTCTTTAATTTTGTTTTTCTGCCATTGCATTTTAGAAAAACAGATTAAAACAATTACTACTCTGATGACCAAAATCTGGAGGTCTGGACACCGCTCATCTTTTGGGCTTTGTACACAATGCTGAGTTCAAACTAAGACTGTGGTTTCCAGCCCCAGATTCATTCTTCTGTCCAACTATTATTCAACTGTGACACAGAAAAACAACATTTCTCTACTTTCAAGGGGTTGGGTTTTGCTTTATAATGTCTTGTTATTTTCTCTTTTCCAGCATTTACTGTACAGAGAGAATTAGAGATAAGTTTCAATATTCTTGTATTGCTTATAAAGAATAATTTACTGCCATAAACTGAAATTTGTTGAGCAGAGATTGTATTTCTATGTGAAGTTCTTCCAGCACTGGAAAAAAAATAAAAAAAAAATTTACAGGATATGCATCATATTGAATAAGTATCTTTCCTTCTTATCAGAATCTTCTGTTTATAAATAATCTATTAAAAAAGCCAAACTGGTGCAAAAGCACTGTAAAATATGACATACTCCTGAAACTAGGCTTCTGTATCACTTCTTCATTTGAAATTAACCCTGAGCTTCCCACAGCTTTGTTTGCTGTCACCCCTTCATGTCTTGTTGCTTTCTTCATTTACTTCTTTATAGCATGAGGTTGCTCTGGTATTTGTGTGGTATCTTCATGTGTTGTTTGCAGGTAACTTAGCTCCTTTGCAGCTCAAAGGTAAAGTTTGCACAGCATTATGCTGCTTCATGAGCCTTGATCTTGTTGAGGGCACATGCCCACAGGGCCAGGCTTATAATTAACAAAATTCATCCAAGCTGGAAGAGGTTATGAATGCGTTATTTCAATGAGAATTTATCCTAATACTCTAGGCAGACCAAGTTCAACACGAGTTTGTTATTTATATAAACACTGAAAAAAATTGCTTTAGAGTCTTGAACTTCCTATTTTTTTGTCCCCTGTCTTGTAAATTCTTATAATAGTCAGTAGTATCAGGAATGGTTATTTCTATCCTCCTTTGCAAGACAGCTGGTTGTTTGCTGCATAGAAGCTGCTAACCTGGGGGAGTGTGCTTTTTCCAGGAGACCACCAGATCACAGCAGAGGTACTTTGCAGTTTTATTTGCATTAAGTGTATGGCAAGTGCTGTAGTTAATTATGGGATGGAAGCATAACCCAGGCTAACTGAATTGACCTGGTCTTCTCTGACAACATATCCTGACTGCTCTATCTTTGCATCTGCCATATCAAGGAGTATGAATAAATAGGTTTAAATAAGTATAATTGTTGTTTTTTTTTAAATACTGTGGTATTTTTCAAAAGTTTCATGTTGTTGGAACCAGGAAAGGGAATAAAATATCTATTTATTTTCATGTGCAGTTATTGTAGGTTGATGGGGTTTTTTGCATTGTTTGCTACATGCTTGGATTTACTATGTCTTTAAGAGGCATTCATGCTTGCAGATGAACCTGCTGTTTTGAAAATTTTAGTTTCTGTTCTTGTCCTTTAAGTGAAAGGATTGAGCAAAGTCCTGCTTATGTATCAGGTAAAAAATCATGAAAGTAAGCAGAAGCCCTAGAAGAAATCCCACCCTCAGGCTGCACCATATAAATTGATGTTAACTCTGATGGGAGTGTTTTCCATTTGATATAGCATCAACATGTATTGTATTGTTCATTTGTTTGCTAGCACCACTGCAACACCACACTGTCATCATAAAAAAATGTTCCTTTGGGTAATTATTTTTTGCAAAACCAGTTAATGCTCTAGACCAATGTGATAACAGTGTTTGATAAGATATTTTCATTCGTCTTTATAAGCAGAATAGAGACTTGGAGTGCTTCCGAAGTGGGAATGATCAGTACCAATCATAGCTCACCCTCCAGCACAGTTCCAGCAGACTGACAGTATATTCAGATGCAGAAACAAGATAAAAGCTGTTCCAATTGTGTAAGCTGCTGGCTGGCCTGAAATCTTGAAGGGAGGTCAGTCATCCTGAATCATTACTGTAACCTATTTAGAGGCCCAAATCTACTTCTGATAAATTTAAGTGAGC